CGAATCTCTTTTTTGTCCACTTCTAGAGCAGCAAGTTGGGAGTATAGGACCTGTTTTGGAAGCTAGTTTTCAGGCATGCTTATGATGTGTCCTGTTGAATAAAGCTGGTTTCCTGTAAATGTGGTTTCAATGCCGATGGTGTTTGCTGGAGACAGAAAAGCTGGCATTCATTCTTCTATCCTTCAGATTGATAAGGAGGGTTTTCTGAAGACAATGCTAGTCATAGCACTGCAAAGCTTTCAAGGATTTCCAATATGTCATCCAAGTTTTGCACCCATACAACCGGGTAGGGATGACAGCAGCCTGGTAGATAAGAACTTTGGTTTGGGTCCTGATGTCATGATCATTGAAGATACAGTTTTAGGGACATCTAAAGGCCATACTCGCAGATTTTATCTGGTGTTGAATATCATTGTCTATGTTTCCTTTTTGGGAAAGGTGACTACCTAGGTAAGGGAAATGCTCAACATTCTCCAAGAACTGTCCCTTATAGCATGCGGAAGAGCAGCTGGTTGCTTTGGGATGGATTAGTAAAGAATCTTAGTTTTCATGAAGCTGACAAGTGAATCTAGACTTTTTACACACTTCATAGTTTCATAGTTGGTAGGGTCAGAAGGGACGTGAGCAGATCATCAAGTCCGACCCCCTGCCATGGCAGGAAAGAGTACTGGGGTCAAGCAAGGTATTCATCCAGCCTCCTCTTAAAGACCCCCAGGGTAGGAGCCAGCACCACTTCTCTTGCAAATTGGTTCCAGATCCTAGCCGCCCTGACAGTGAAGTAGCGCCTCCCGATATCGAACCTAAATCTACCCTCTGCCAGCTTGTGACCGTTATTTCTTGTCACTCCCGGTAGTGCTCGGGGGAACAGGGAACCTCCCAATGCCTGCTGGTCCCCTCTGACCAGTTTGTAAATGGCCACTAGATCCCCCCTCAGCCTTCTCTTGTGGAGACTGAACAGGTTCAGGTCCCTAATCTCTCCTTGTAGGGCCTGCCCTGCTGACCCCTGATCATGCGAGCGGCCCTCCTCTGGACCCTCTCCATGTTGTCCACATCCCTCCTGAAGTGCAGCGCCCAGAACTGGACGCAGTACTCCAACTGCGGCCTGACCAGTGTTGCATAGAGGGGGAGGATCACCTCCTTGGACCTGCTTGAGATGCATCTGCGGGTGCATGAAAAGGTACGGTTGGTCTTCCTGACTGCTTCCCCACACTGTCAGCCCACATTCATTTTGGCATCAGTAATGACTCCAAGACCTTTTTCTGCCTCTGCACTGATGAGAAGGGAGTTCCCCAGCCTGTAGGTATGCTGCTGGTTCTTCCGCCCCAGGTGCAGTACCTTGCACTTGTCAGTGCTGAAACCCATCCTGTTCCCATCCGCCCACCCCTGTAACCTGTCTAGGTCTAATTGTAGTCTATTCCTCCCTTCTAGCGTGCCCACTTCTCCCCACATCTTAGTGTCATCTGCAAATTTGAACAGGGTGTTTTTTACAACCTCTTCCAAGTCGCTGATGAAGATGTTGAACAGTGTGGGCCCAAGGACTGAGTCCTGCAGAACCCCACTGTCCCCATCCCTCCAGGCCGAATAACACCCGTCCACCACCACTCTCTGGGTGCGGCCCTCCAGCCAACTAGTGACCCATTTGATTGTGTAGGTGTCAATGCCTCAGTCCCCTAGTTTTTTAATGAGAATGGGGTGAGAGACAGTGTCGAAGGCCTTCCTAAAGTCCAGAAAGACTAGGTCCACTGCTACCCCTGCATCTAAGGATTTTGTAACCTGGTCATAGAAGGCCACCAGGTTGGTCTGACAGGACCTGCCTCTAATGAACCCATGTTGGTTGCCCCTAAGCATAATCTCCTCTGCTGGCCCCTCGTGGACATGCACCAGGATAACTCTCTCAAAAAGCTTACCCAGGACCGAGGTAAGACTGACTAGCCTATAGTTTCCTGGGTCCTCCTTCCTCCCTTTTTTGAAAATGGGAACCACATTGGCCCTTTTCCAGTCCTCTGGCACCACACCAGAGCACCATGAGTACTCGTAAAGCTGTGCTTAATTAACATCCCTTAATTAACAATATTTGCCAAGTAACAACGTTACCATTATAATCCAAATTTCAGGTTAGGGGGAGAGGGGAATATAGGACCATATAGTGTTAAATGGGGAGGCTGCACTATAGCCACAACAAGCAAAAGGAATCAGTCTATGCTGGGGTACTCAACCTCCAAATGTGGCCCACAGAGTCATCACATCTGGCCTGTGGAACTCTCTATGGGGCAGCAAATTCGGCAGCTGGTGAGTGGTTGCCAAACCCCAAGCCCCACACTGCCAGTCCCAGCCACATCTGGATGGAGGTCAGGCCATGCCTCCTTCCTCCCATGGGGCCAGTTTTGAGACACCCCTGTCCTGCCTATGCCTATTCCCCCTTCCCTCTGCAAGGCCAGGTTGTGGCTCGGCTGCCCCTACCTCCCTCCACGTGGCCAGATGGTGCCCACTGTACCCTCCCTGGGGCCAGATTTGGAACACTGGCAGGATCCAGCTCACAGGCGGATGGGACACTGACCTACTCATCTGCCAAGGAAAAAGGTTAAGCACCAGTGGTCTATGATATATGAAACCCAGATCCTGTAAATATGTACATCAAGGTATTAATCTAAAGCCCAGTCTTAAGTGGGGTTTGGAGCAGGCTGCAGCTGACTATTCCACCACTCATGTAAGCTTTAAATACTCAAGATAAAAAAACAAAATTACACGTACAACATTTTTGAATCATAGAAAATTAAGGTTGAAAGGGGCCTCAGGAGGTCATCCAGTCCAACCCCCTGCTCAAAGCATGTCCATCCCCAACCAGATCATTCCAGCCAGTGCGTTGTTAAGCCAGGCCTTAAAAACCTCCAGTGATGGAGATTCCACCACCTCTCTAAGTAACCCGTTCCAGTGCTTCACCACTCTCCTAATGAGAAAGTTTTTCCTAAAACTTCCCTTGCTGCAACTTGAGACCATTGTTCCTTGTTCTGTCATCTGTCACCACTGAAAACAGCCTAGCTCCATCTTCTTCTGAACCACCCTTCAGACAGATAAAGGCTGCTATCAAATCCATCTTCTCTTCTGCAGACTCAATAAACCCAGTTCCACCAGCCTCTCCTGCAGTCACGGACCTCAACCCCCTCATCATTTTCACTGCCCTCCGCGAGACTATCCATGCCACATCCACATCCATTCTGCCCCATCCTTTCTGGAGTGGGGGGCCCAAAACTGGAAACAAGTAGACTCCAGTTGTGGCCTCACCAGTGCTGAATAGAGGGGAATAATTACTTCCCTTGATCCACTGGCAACACTCCTGCTAATGCAATAACAGGCATGATACTAAGGAAGGCATGGTTATGTGCCTTCCAGAAGCTGGGGTTTATGGGACGTGGTCAGAGGTGGTATCAGACTGTAAATTCCACATATGAGCGCTCTGATTTTTCTTGAGTAGCAATGATCACCAGAACCATACCTGTATCCTATGCCATCTCATGCTCCTACATGAGGGTGGGGAGGGGAGGCGCATAAACACAGGGTGGCTGTCACCTTATTTCATTTTCCCTGGAACTCAAGACCTGTGTTGGTGAAAATGCTGTACAGCAGGTAGAAAGGATGGAATCTCACAGCAAAACATCTTGAAGAAGTTACCACACAGTGAACAAAACTTCCTTCTTAGGGCATGTATCGGTATAGATCCATCTGTGACTGATAAGCAGAAACCATCCTAGGACAGTGGGAGCGGGGAGTTTCAACTTTTCTGAACTTTACATCTGAATTAGTTATTATGACAAGCCCATTACGCTTAAACAAACAGAAGCAAACTGAAAAATGCTTGAAAACCTATAATAGTCTGACTATCAAAGCTTAATCAGCAGTAAGGGGATAACAGAATGATCACTGCGTTGTTCTATCTAATCTCTGAACTAATCTGCGAGCAAGATGGATTGCTTAGAAAGAACAGATGTCTCTAAGTCAACTCAAGGAGGAAGCCAGCCAAGCTGGAAGCCCAGGCTTATACTTCCTATATAAAAAGGGTCTGGCATTTAGCCTGGGTCAACCATGGTGAACAAGTGTATGTACAATGGGGGTGTCCTGCTGACAAAATGCAAGCCCAGAATGGATTACTCTAGTGATCACTTGGGATTGGCAACCATGGTTTACTGTGGAAACCTACTAGCTCAATGCTGACCCAGGGACAGTGAAAAGCCAGTGAGGTCCCAATATTAACATGTTCAATGTTATTATTGAAGAGACCATTCCTTTTGTCACATTAATTTGGGCTGATCACTATGTGGGCTCTTCACAGTATTTGAGACTGGACTATAATCCATTTGTTTGTAAAGAGATCTGGGATGGTGAGTAAGAGGACTTCAGCCAGAATTATAAAGATCACAAGACATTTGGCAAATGTTATGTTCATGATAATATGTCGCATATATAGGCACTTATTGCATCTACCATTTCGGAAAATGAATCCATCAGAAGATGGACAAGGTTCTGTGTTTCAGCCATGGGCATTAAGGGCGAACTGAGGTAGGCTTACACTGTCTATTGCCAGCAGCTAGCAATGTACAGTCAACAAGCTGTATTTGTCTGTAGCGGCATTCAAGGGAAGGTGATGGGGGTGAGGAATTGGTGACAGGCAGCAGCAGCGGGAACTTGCCAATATCTGGGTCACAACTAGTGCTGCCCCCTTAGGGTCCACCACTGGTAAAAGGTTGCTAAACCCTGGTCTATGCCATCATAGACCAATGTGACACCGGTAGTTAAGAAAAATCCATTTGCACCTACAGTAGGATCTACAGAAAAAAATCATTTAACCAAAAAAAAAATAAAAATCAAATCCATCACCAGATCCAAACAAGCAAATTAAAGCAACAAAGACCCTTGGAATTAATTTCTTCACCACAATGTCTTAAAAGAAAATTTTTAATTTATCATCATATAAAAACATACTAAATATACAATGTCTGACCTACCAGATTATCAAGCATTCGCATAAGGGCTTCAAATTCCTGCTCTCCAATCTGCCATTTTGGATGGGATACAGTACCCTCAGCTGCTGGAGACTCAGGAGAACGAGACTTGGCTTTGTACTTCCCAGGGTCTAACAGCACTAAGTTGTCAGGCCCCCCTGCACTGGCCAGGGTACGTACCTTAAGGACAATAAGGGCACACTTCAGTTTCTTTAGCATAACCAATGGGATAACAGCTGAAAGAGCGTAAAGTCCTATATTCCATTTTTCAAATTCTAATCTTACTTTAAGAAGTAAACAAATCAGTATAATGTTACAATAATGAAAACATTTTAAATATGAAACTTTAAAATGTTCTAGTTTTTAAATGGAAAATTGACTTGACTTGAAATAAATGTATAAGTTAAACAGTTCTAGCTTACTAGTTCAATGGTACTGCTAAACTAACATTTTAGATCATTTTGTATACAATATACATAGCAGACTAATTTTTTAAAATACTAAAATTCTTACTTGAATCTCACAGGCAACTACTAGATTATGAATATAGTAGAAAGCCTCTTCAATAGTCTCTCCAACTGATACCAGGCCATGGTTTCTGAGAATAAGAACCTAAAACAAACACAGATTACAAATAATGTAAGATACTGAGAGGAGCCCATTTGTAAAACCTTAAAACATCCAACCTCTTCTCTGTACTCCCAATTGAAAAACAACCACTTATAGTTTCACAGTTGGTAGGGTCGGAAGGGACCTGAGCAGATCATCAAGTCCGACCCCCTGCCATGGGCAGGAAAGAATGCTGGGGTCAAACAACCCCGGCTAGGTGATTATCTAGCCTCCTTTTGAAGACCCCCAGGGTAGGAGTGAGCACCACTTCCCTTGGAAGTTGGTCCCAGATCCTAGCCGCCCTGACTGTGAAGTAGTGCTTCCTGATGTCTAGCCTGAACCTACTCTTAGTCAACTTGTGGCTGTTATTCCTAGTTACTCCTGGTAGTGCTCGGCGGACTCTCCTGTTCCCTGCTGGTCCCCCCGGTAAATTTATAGACAGCGCCAGATTCCCTCTCAGCCTTCTCTCATGGAGTCTGAACAGGTTCAGGTCTCGTAGCCTCTCCTCACAGGGCCTGCCCTGCTGCCCCCTGACCATGCGAGTGGCCCTCTTTGAAACCTCTCCATGCTGTCCACATCCCTTCTGAAGTGCAGCACTCAGAACTGGACACAGTACTCCAAATGCGGCCTGATCAATGTCGCATAGAGGGGGAGGATCACCTCCTTGGACCTGCTCGTGATGCATCTGTGGATGCACAACAAGGTGTGGTTAGTCTTACTGACCATGTCCTCACATTGGTGGCCCATGTTCAGCTTGGAATCAATAATGACTCCAAGATCCCTTTTCTACCTCTGTGCTGACAAGAAGGGAGTTCCCCAGCCTATAGATATGCTGTTAGTTCTTTCTCCCCAGGTGCAGTACCTTGCACTTGTCAGTATTGAATTCCATCCTATTTTCATCCGCCCACCCTTGCAGATTTAGTTGTAGCCTGCCCCTCCCTTTCATCGTGCCCACCTCTCCCCACATCTTAGTGTCATCTGCAAATTTGAACAAGGTGCTTTTCATCCCCTCGTTCAAGTTGCTGACGAAGATGTTGAACAGTGTGGGCCCGAGGACCGAGCCCTGGGGGGCCCCACTGCCCACGTCCCTCCAGGTCAAAAAAGACCCATCCACTACCACTCTCTGGGTGCAGCCCTCCAGCCAATTTGCGACCCATCTGACTGTGTAGGCATCGATGCTTGCACTTTAAACTTTACAAATGATAACTGACCTTGCTCTTAGGTCCTAAATTTTTCTGAATTAACACTTTTTCCTCATCATCCACTAGAATACCATGGTAGTCATGGTAAGCCACTTCTCCTAGGGAGAGTGCTTCAGGTGAGATAGGCAACAGGCCACACTTCATTGCAGAAACCTGTGATGATGACGGATTTTAAAGAAGGGAATAATAAATCAAAACAACAAAAAATGCATTAGTATGTCACAAAGACTGATTTTTTTGCTAACAAACAAAACTGCATATAACATACTAAGATTAAATATAATTAATTTAAAAGAGAACGGAAGTAAATACAAATTGCAAAGGACTTAAAATACAAAGCTCTTCTTAATTCGTATTCTCTCCCTATTCCGAGTGCATGTTTTAAAATGCAAGATTATGAGTAATAAGGTTGGACTCAGATAATTACACAACACTGCAGTTAAAAACTACATATATTATTAAAATTTAAAATTTGAGCCACGATTAGAAATTTGTTCAAAGCTTTGGTCTTTTACGCACCTTAAAATGTTTGTATTGATATTCTGAGTTAATTTTGAAACAAAAATATCAGAATGAGAACTGCAGTTAAGCAGTTACAACTAGCTAGGAAACTCAGGCATCAGTAGGGTTCCTGGTTTTCTTTGTTAAAAAAAATCCCCAATTTTAGGTTTAAAAAATTAAGCCAAAATTCACATTTTTTCATTTTGATCATGGAAAAATGTGGATTTTGGGTGAATTTTTTTTAACTGATAAGTAGGGATTTTTTTTTTTTAAATCAGAGACAATCAGGATCCATGGTCATCAGTATGACACCTGTAAAAGATTCTAGGGAAATGAGTTTGATTGTGATTTATAATCAGTTGTTCATAGAAAACAAAATGTAAGCAGGAATTTATGGATTTATATGTGCGTCCAGTATTTGAGACTAATCCTGCTACCTGTGCTGTGAAATCAGTGTCAGATTTGTCACCAGAACCACAAGGTAGGTACAAGAGAATAAATATTTAATTATGCAACACATTCATTCAGGAAATACAGGAAATATCAAGTCACCTTCATAGACAAGTAGTGCATTCTAGGAGTTTGTAAGAGGCATTGACTGAAAATGGTATCATCCTTATTAGAACCATACAAATTTTAAATTTTTAAAGCAAATGTAGATTAAAACATCCATCATAAATATAATTTTCATAAACACCACAGATGTTTTCATTTGCTGCTGTAGGATCCAATTCTACAAACACTCATGAGTAAGCCATACTCACATGTGTAGGTCAGTGATTACCAAAGTTCACGTAGGACTATTACTCACATGAGTATGGGTTCAAAGCATCCAAGTTTTAAATAAGATAAATAAATATATTTGAGTCTATGGGACCAACCATATTTCTATTAAAAGCTACATTAAAAGGAAATGCTTACCGCTGCCCCTGCTGGTGTGTGAATATGAACAATGCATTTAACATCAGGTCGAGCTGCATAAATTGCAGAGTGCAAAGTAAAACCAGCTTGGTTTACACCCAAATTAGTGCTTCCACGATCAACAACATCACCTTGAATATTAATCTTAACCTGACAATGACAGATTGAAATAGAAAATTTTAAAAATTATTATTTTGCAGGTTCGATAAATATTTTAATTCATTTTCCTTATTAATATATTTAAAAGTTCTATATTTACTCAAATCTAAGGTGACTCTGAATGTAAAATGACCCCCTAATAATTAGATTCTATACATGGAAAATTTATAAATTTGTTATAAATATTGCACATGTAGAATCTAATTATTGGAGGATTGTCTTTAATTCATCCCCCCACAGCTGGGGGGGGGGGGCAGGGGGGGCAGAGAGTGGGAGGCGAAGGTCTTGCTCCCTGCTACCTGCCTGCCCCCCTGCCCCACAGTTTCAGTCTCCCCTCCCCACTCTGCTCCCCCTCCCCACAGCCTCTCTGCTCCCCCCCTCGCCTCCCCTTACACTTGCTCCAGAAGGCCCGGTGCCTGTTCTAGCCTGGGGCACTGAGCACAGCCTCAGCACAGTTCCTGTAGCAGCTGTGCAAGCACTGCTACAGGGTCAGGCTGGAGCCATGCTCAGTGCCCCAAGCTGCAGCATGCACAGAGCCTGCTGATGCGGAGCAAGGATTAGGGGGTGGAAAGGAGGGCAGGCAGGGGAGCAGAGGCTGCATGGCAGGTGAGGAAGGGAGATGGGGAAAAGTCACTGCAGGGGAGAGATGGCGGGGTGTAGAGGCAGACAGCAGCTACAGCTATGACCATGACCCTGATCCCCAGCAGGGGTTGAAGCTGGAGCCACAGCAGCTGCCAGCCGCCTGCCCCCTGCCGCACTCTTGTATGTGATTCTAAGACAAAGGGCTTTCCCCACCCCATGTTAAATGGGGGGCAGAAGGCCTTATCTCAGAATCAAATAAATACAGTATGTTATGATGAATATATTACAAGGAACTGAAGATTTTTTAATGTTAGCACCAAACATGCCTTCTATATTACTTACATTCCTGTAAGAAATTAAACCCATCAATAAGCAATTGTATAAATGTAAATTAATTGTTCTGCTATGCTGTTTGGCTTTTACTTCCTTGCTTCTTGACACCATTTCCATTAAATCTTCACTGATCATATAGCTTTTCACCATAGATGGGACCTATACTTTTAGTGGAAAAGATTTAAAAAAAACAAACAAACTGAAATGAAACCCTAAAACTAACACCTTTCAGTCCTCTTTTGGGCAAGAAAGGGACCAAGATTATTTCCACTCACTCTTCTGCAGGTTACCTTTTATTTACCTGCATAAAAAGTCCCCTTTAACATTTGGCTCCAGGAATGGTTTTTTTAGGCCCTCTTTTTTCCTCAGATTAATACTTAATCTGGAAAGTCTCATCTAAATCCCTTCTCTTTTATACTTTCTTATTGTTTCTTAGCTGCAGGCAGAGATCCACTGTTTGCTTGATAATGTAATTATTTTTATCTTTGCCAGGTAACCCCTTATTTAGAAGTATGAAGGCTCTTTCTCTATAAACTGAGCTATCTTTGGTATTTAATCTTGATAGCCTTAGGTCCTACTTGATTATGAAATGCAATTAAATCCTCACCTGTTAGGTGCACTGGAACACACAGCAACCACAGATTTTTAGCACATGATTGATTTTCCAGCAAGTCAGTCTCGTAAGTAAGGGCATGTTTTCTTTAACTATTGCTGACACCCTGCCTCCCTATTCCCATTTGTTCCATTTTCAACTCCTGTGTTTAAATAGATCTAAACCATTTTCCTGCACACAAATGGTGCAGCTTACAACATCTAGTTATGGGGTTGTCAACTGCGGGTATATGTACCCCCAGGGGTACTTAGAAAGATCTTTGGGGGTACATGCAAGCAGGCAGGGATGGAGCACGCCCAGGGGTGTGGAGGCAGCATTTGCCCTGGCACATTCGCATCTTACCCAGGGGAGGCGGAGGGGTGTGCTGGACACCTCCAGCCCCACATGGCATGGCGCCTCCCTGCCCCCTACCCCAGCCTGCTCTACTGACTGGCCACCGGGCTGCTGCCCTCAGCCAATAGCTAGTGGTGAGTGGCGGTGGCAGCCACCACGTGCAAGCTCCCTCCCCACTTGGCTCCCCTTGCAGTGCCGCAGCTATGCCACCCCTGGGATCTGTGTGGGCAGTGTGTGGCAGGCTGAGACCAGGGCTGCGCCAGGCTGTTCCTGGCGAGGGGGCTGGGCTGCATTTGGGGGTGCTTGGGGTGGGCAGAAGCAGCACTGGGATGGGGACTGGAGGAGCTACAGCGAATTCTGGGGTGGCTGCAGCCACTCTGCCAGTCTGCCAGCACCGCCACCCACCCCAAGTGCAGCCCGGCCCAACTCCTTACTGGGAAGAGCCCGGCACTGCCCTGGGCCCAATCTGCCCCACACGCAGGCCTGGGGGCATGCAGCCCCCCCATGCTCTCCCAGGGTGCGTGTGGCTCAGTCTCGGGCTCCTCCCAGGGGGGGGCTGCTGCAACCACTCCAAAATTTGCCATAGCCCCCCTCCCCTCCCAACCTCTTTCCAGTGCTACTGCCACCAGCCCCGAGCGCACGCCCTTGTCACCACTGAGGCAGCCCAGCCTGCCCCACCCCCCATGCCCTCCTGAGCTGTGCGCAGTAGCAGGAGCTGCCCCCCCATCCCCGTGCACTCTGGACGAGCCGCTTGTGGCTCCATCCTGCACCCTGCCCTGGCTGTGCAGCACCTGCCCTAGCCCCACTCCCTCCCACACTGCAGGAGCCTCAATCTGGGCCTCTCCTTAAAAACAAGAAAAAAATAAGGGGGTACAGGAGCTGAAATTTTGAGTCAGAAGGGGTACACTTATTAAAAAAGGCTGAAAACCCATGATCTAGTTTGTCACCTACAGTCACTGTAATCACAAGTAAAATAGTATCCTTGGGACTAAATTCTTCCAGCTTCCCCAAGGATGGTCCCACACAAGATTATGTCCTATCTGGAGGTGTGCTGTGATATTCAGGCTTCAGAATCAGTACTAGAGCGTTCCCAAATACTAGGGAAAATAATATAGTCTTGCACACCTGTGCCTTATTTTTTAGATATTTTTAGTTACAGTATTGGCTTTACCACGTTATCTCATTTGACCAAGGAAACCGATAGTATCTGAAAATGAGGGTGAGAGAAACAGCAATAGCTTCTCACTTGATGCAACTTCTTCGTTCTCCTAGTTCTATTCATTACCCTCCCCACTAGCAGTTTCTCAAAGTCACAGTTGACCAAAGTTATTTCCAAAACCAAATTATTTCCTTTGACACAACCACGCCAACTTCAGTTTGTGGTTGTCTATGATTGCAGCCCCAGTGTGTTAGATCTGGGCCTACTCTTAGGTAATTTTTTAAAAGATCTGGAACTGGGAATATGTTTAATTAATGCAAGTCTTTTGTGGTTCTGTAATTCAGAAAGGTTTAAAAGGCAACAGAAGTATTTAACATTTCATGTGTCGAAATCACTATGAAGATACTATGAAGCAGGTGTACGTCATAAATAGAGGTCTACTCAATTCATAACTCCATGGAAACCACAAAATCCAGGATTGTCCACAAAAATCAACTAAAAAAAGGTAATAAAAATAAAATGCTGGCTCCCCAGTGGTCCTCACTGCTGCAGCCTGGCCTTGCAGCCTGCTGTGGGGGAGGAATAGCAGGGGCAGAAGGAATGTGTAGGCTGGAAGGGTGGCACGAAGGGCAGCAGACAAGATGGCAGCCACTGCCACTGCCCCTGCTGGGGCCTCTCCACCAATCAGTGCCAAGAGGTGGGGCTGCAAGGACAACCAACAGACAAGATGGCAGCTGCACCCCTCATCCCTTCTCTCCCACTGAGGCCACTCTGCCAATCAGCACCAAGGGGCAGGGCTGGCACAGCACATTCAGGAAATATCTGTAAAATTAGATTTTTTTATGATTTGACCAACCCACAAAAATTGGTTATTCTCACCACAATTTATGTAGGTCCTTAGTCATAAGGTTGACTCAAGAACCACATAACCTAGCTATTCTTGCCATACAACCACAATAAGAGAGAACCTGATCAGATCATAGTCCCTATGACATAACCTAGATAAGCATAGACATAGATATACACAAGCACTCAAAAACTTAATGTTTACCTTCTGGTGTTATAAAAATAATTTAGCATGCTTACCAGACTGGATGCAGAAACCTCACTATAAAGAAGTCCAAAAGGTACAATGAGGAAATGTTCTTGTTCAGAATTTACTCTGGCCTAAGAACACAACAGTAAGAGTTAAAACTTTACAATGAAGAACTATAAGAACCAAAAATACACAATACAATTACAATTATTAGTAAGTAGCCTTGTCATATTTTCTCTAATTGACAAAATTTATTAATCTAGAATGGTTTTGTTAATAGGGCCAATGTCCAGTAGGACCAAATGGGAGGTGCCAATTAAAGATCCTCAGGTCAGTAAAAGAGCGAAGTGTATAGGCTGTCCTTGACTTACAATGTTTCGAGTAACAATGTTTTGCACTTACAATGTTTATAAATTGACACCCTGTTTCAACTTTCTGGTCAGTTCCCACTTTGCAACGCTTGATCTGACACGATGTCACACCCGCGAACAAGTTCGCTGCATCACCCATCTCCCTGGAGAACATCTGCCCAGACTTCCCTGGACAGTTTCTTTAAGAAAGCAGCCAACACCCCAGAAAAACCTGCAGCCAAGACTTCTGAGAAGACTACAGTCAAGAACCCTTCAAAAAGTCCAACCAAGAGCCCTTCAAGAAGTCCAACAAAGTCACCTCGAAGAAGTCCTTCCAAATCAATATGATGGCTATTTACAGTATAAATACATGAATGTAGCTATATTACTCATCTATAATTGATTGAGTACAAAATTCTGGGTTATATTTTGTGAAAACAGGGTACCGGGCCTTGGTTCAGGAACTAATCCCCCATTTAAACATTGTTTTCTATGGGAAAAATCAGTTCTGAGTTACAATGTTTCGACTTAAGACTTGGTTTTCAGGAACCAACTGTGTCCTAAGTCCGAGGAATGCCTGTAATTAAGATGCTAAGAAGGTGCTCAAGTCCCCGTAGTAACAAGAGCTAGATAAATACCTGGCTAGATAGAATGCTTGTCTAATAAGGTATGGGATGGCTAGTATCAGAGAAGCAGTACTGTATCCCACAGCGTTAGTACTCCACAAAATTTGTCCCATGTTAGAAGGTACAGGATTTCCTCATGCTATTCATGCTCTGCCCATGAAACGCTTCCAATGTTGCCTTTCCTTCCCTTTTACCAGCCAGCTAGTGGACAGCAGAGGAAGTGGACTTCAAATCACTGCCAATGTAGGGCTCTCCTGTAGTCAGCTATTTTAACCTATGCTGTTGCTTGCTACAGCAATAGGAGAAGAAAAGGAGTAAATGTGACTAACTGGCCATTTCAGACTGCTGTGAGAATTTATTTCTAACATTCTGTTTTGTAGATCAGAAGTGTATTCATGCCAGCTTAAATCACCAGATTTATATTCAAATCTACCGAAATAACCAATGCATTAGCATAAAATATCCCTTCCCAGCACACTGGGGTACCCTTTCATATGCCCAACTAAAATTTTCTCCTTCATTCCAGCAGGTTGAAGAAATAAGTGCCCTTTTTTCCCCAGATCCTTTTGGTCCAGATGATGAAATACATACATATACTTATATACCTCATTTGAAAAGAGGTATAGAAAACAGTGATAGAAGAACCGTGGCAATAAAAATTTGGCTTCTTTCAACTGACATTGCCATCAGTCACTCAGAAGCAAAGTGCAGCCTATCAATTGCCCCTGGTGGAACTAAAAACATATGTTACCCCATGTGCATATGTTTTACCCTATATGCAAAGAACTATTTTGCAGAAAGGTAAAGGGAGAGCCAGTTCACAGCAACATGAGTTATCTCCTCTTTGATGTCAGAACTAAAGTGATATCTTCTGATGCTGGCCCATAAGGCAAAAAGACCATACATAAAAATGTAAGTGATTGATTTCTCTCCCAGATATGGGCCCTGGAACCACAGCCGGGAGGTAGGCATGTGCTTCAGTTAAAGCAAACAGGCAAAGACAGGTCTGTGTCTTCAGAAAGGAATCGGTTACATTCAGAACTGCCTCCATAGCAGCCCCTCACAGATGGCTGGCAGCATTCTTAACAGCTTTTCTATTAAAACATCTACTGGGGACACAAGCAACTTCGCATTTGTGATTTTAAACTGAAAAGCTAACTTTCAAACATGCCAGCTGACAGCAAGGAACTGCTAGAAAAGGAGTGGGAAGCAGGCAAAAGAAAAGCTCAACAGAAATTAGAAGGTTGAATCTGAAGTGGAAATAGTAAGACTAAATTAGAAAAGAGGCACTTGGTACATTTTCCTAGCTGTTTATTTAGGTGTTTTTTTAAAACATTCCTGATGCAGATTAACTTTCCATGAAGAAAGGATAAACATTTATTAACATTCAATAGTTTCAAAATCTGCAATGTTATAAACTCCTTCAGGCCTCACATAGTTTATTCCAGTGAGACAGTTTGTACATGTCTCAGATGGTTAAAGGCACTTCTCCTGAAGTATTATAATTGCTGGTACACACCATAAGGCATATTAGCAGTCTCCTACTGCTGGCCATGGAGTGGCTTACTGCTGTTGTTAACCCCACCACAATTACTGGTCATGACAAACCAGCTTAATACTGAAAGTACCAGGTAAGTAACCTGATTCCTACAAATATTTCTACTCATTAATCTACAGTGAATATATGCCTATTTTAATTATTTCAATACATAAATAAATACATTGTACAATGGTCTGAACATACACTATTACAGAATGCAACATTTCTCACCCACTGTCACAATATTTGTCTACTGAATTATTGCCAGGATTATTCTGATGCAGACATCTGAAAAAAATCTACAGTATAATGACTTGCAGAAATGCCTCTCTCAAAATAACAAACGATCACAAGCAGCTTGGTTAGTTTTTCTACCCAAAGGTTATTTTTTACTTAGAACCCAGTAAAAATAGGCTCCTATTTTGCCAAGTTCTAAGTAAAAGAAAACAATGAGTAAAAAATAATTGTTTGGCTTTTCCCCTAAGAGGGGGATGAGATCCTTGGGATGTCACAGCCTGAAAACTTTAAAAATGTTGCCACAGATATGTGAAGCTAGGTCCAAGCGCATCCTTATGACACATCAACTCAGAATTGACATGTGCACATCAACTCACCCACTGACCTCACATCCCATCTGAAAAGCTTTAAAATGTTTACAGTAAAGTAACACATTAGCAATTCTATATTGGGCAAATTTCCCTTATAATGTTGCCAATTTTGCCCTAGAATGCAGTCTCTTAATGAGATTTGTTATACTCAGACATACGTGCCTGGATGATTTGGTGTCATCTCCTGCTTGACATGGCAAAAAATGAAAAGTTTTTCATTTAAATGCAACCCACTATTCTATTTGCCACTGTGGTTGAAAACAAACCCATCCTCTTCATAAATGGGGGATTATGATCTGCCCTTTCCTCTTTCACATTCCTTCTAGACATTGGATAAATCCTGTTTTATTCCTGCACCCTTCTAAAATGTTGCCTGTTTCTTTTTGTGCTGATAGTCAAATTCTTCCAAGTGAGAATTCTATTTTGTTTCAGTTGCTGCAGCTCTCTTTTCCAGGATCTTCTAATGCTCCCTAAATCTCTACAATCCACTCAAAATGCTATCACACCTTCAAGTGCCAGTTTCTTTCACAATGCTCCCCACTTCACTGGTTCATCATTCCATCATAGACTAACTTCAAAACATTTTGTCCTTATTTTAGAGAGCCTACCTGATGCAGCCCATGCCTGCCTTTTTACCATAGGCTTCTTTACATACTCACATTTCCAACATTTCCAACAGTGATGTCAGCTTTCAGAGACATATCCCTGTATATATTTTCACAAATGTATTCACACCTTCTTCTAAGACTGAACCGTCTGCTTAGAAACCCATTCCCAAACCTGTTTTCTAAGCTTCCTTTTCATCTCATTCACATTTCTTCTTATCTGTGAGAAGTGATGCAGGTATAGATTACCATTTTTTTCTGTAAACTGTCCACTAAAGCTGTCCACTATCTTTGGTAACTCCTATGCCCTTCAATGAGTTAACTACTTCGTTCATCCCTTTTGATTTCTTCAACCCACCTTTGCCCCATAGCTTTCTTTTCCTTTCCCTTTGCCTAGTCTTTGAATTTAAATTAATTTATTCCTTTCCATTTGGTATCCCTGCTCTCTGCTTAGATAGCATCTAAGTAGAAAGCTCATGCATCTCTGAATGAATTGGTCTATAAGGTGCCATGCTGCCCTGCCTTCTGTCCATTAAATATTTTGGATTATCAAGTAAATAAATTACTGTTAATAATTAAGTCATTATTATTTGAAATACTAAAAACAGTTTTTAAAGCAAATTAAAACATTTTAAGGACCACCTCTGTAGCACACAAAAGCCCCCCAACAATTTGGAAAATCCACAAACAATTCAGTTCTGTTATAAAGACAATAGATTAGGTTGTCCACTACAGCTGTGGCTTTATTCATGATATTCATGTTGGTTCCTCATCTGACATATGAAACCTTCCTGCACTGCTAGTCATTCTGTCAAGAATTATTACTAGATGCCAGTAATTACTCATTCAGTCACAATGGAGATAGCTGGCACAGAATACTAAGCTAAGTAGTCCCACTGTTTAAAGATCAAAGGTACCAGGGTTTTCTGGTTCTCATAAAGGGTTACGAGAATTTAGAGGAATTTTCATCATTTTCAATAATATGTAATTGAATGCCTAATAAAACAGACATTTTATTACACTGAGAGCCCTAAAAAGTTACTTTACAGAATTGCAAATAAAATTATCCATTAATTTAAGACACTACAAGATTGAGCTTTCAAAAACCATTTTTCATCATGAGGACTTTCATGTACAGTCTCTTAAGACTCTATTCAGGATAAACTGGCTGACATCCAACTTGTTCTATTCTTAATTCTTGAGATGCAGTGATGAATCTCTTCACTATTCTAACGCTTTCAACACCACTTCACTTCTGTTTTAAACTAGTGGCAGATATACTTTCCCCTTATGTTTGGGGAAATTGTTTAGTTATCTGTTGATCCAATACTCACTGTTATATGATTGTAAATAAGCTGTGACCACCCAAAGAGATCTGCTAATCTGTAGAAAGCTGCCAATTTACATCGCAATAACTTCTCCCCTTTCTCATAAGCAATTGAATCTGACCCTCTGAGGTCATTCACCGGTGTCACCATGCCAAGACCTGAATGGAAAAAAGAGAAGAAAAAGCACATGGAAATTGTGTGCTCATTACAGCAATTAAAATATAACATAGCATAAAAACCACAGTGATTGTTCTTGTAATGCTGTTGCTTAGTTGTTTGGATGACCAAAAGAAATTTGTGCTACAGTCTGGGTACTAGCAAGCCATTATTCTTCTATTTTCACACTTTACAATAGTAACATATTTGAGGTGACTTATTCCTTGTAGAGTCAAACTAGCATTAGCTTGCTTCCCTAAAATATGAAGATGACACCAACACCATGTACTTAGAAGTGGGCAAAATGGCAGATCCAGCCAGTGGCCAGAATCCATTTCCCAGAGAGTGGTGGGGCTGTGACAGCATGGGACCAAAGAACCAGGGCTCTGCCCTGGGCCTGGCCCTGCACAGTCACGGCCACACTGCTCCTGGGGGCTCCATGGAGACCGGCCCAGAGTGGCACAGGCAGGTGGCGGAGCTGCTCCAGGACTGAGGTGGGGATCTTGTGGCAGTGACAGCGCAGGGCCGAAGCCAGGACAGAACTGAGATCTGCTTCCTGCATGCCCTTGCCCGCAGAACCTACGCTCATTGCAGGGATGTGCTGTCAATGAATCATGGCTCTGACCTGGCACTGGTCCCCCCACAAGATCCCAGGGTCTTCCTGGCCCTGCCCGCCCATCTCACTCTCAGCCACAGGCCCATCTCAGCTGCCTGGCCACACACCCGGCTGGCACAGGTCCTGTCCCCGGTGGTGGACGTGGGATGGATAGGCTGGGGTGCCAAGGCAATGGGGTTGGGTCTGGTGGTGGCAGCCAGAAGGAGCCACCGCCACAGGGGCTGCTGGGAAATGGAGTCCACTGCGGGCCTGATCCAGTCTGTGGGCTGGACTTAGCCCACCCCGATGAACATAGTATTTTGTCAGCGTCTCAAATTCAAACCTTAGAAATGGAACAAATTCATCCAAAATAATAATCTAGGTTGACCCTGGAAAATATAAGCACTCATATTTCACTTTATCAAATGGAAAAACTTGTTGTATGCCTGGAAATCAGCAACTGTTCATTTAATTTGATACTGAATCATACTTGCTTATTAGAAATAAGTGTGCTCACTCGGAGGAGGAAGGATTATGCCAAATTTTATTATGGATGCTACTATACTGCAGTTAGAACTGTACAAAACAATTTAGTGTGACATGACCCTAAACAAAGAGCTCCATTTTGCAATGTTGCAAGGACCTTAAAAATGTTTCAGAAACAAACCAAAACCCTGGCTATGCTGCTCAATCAAGCAACTCCCAAATATAGTTCCACTTTAAAACATTTGTGAACATAATTAAACTCTGTAAACAAGAGAAAGAAAACACTGTTGGCTATAGATGATATACGCCTTTCCTTCCTGTAGCTCTTACTGAAAGAAGAAAACCAAAGACAGTGTAAAGGGCAAAAATAATTACTTTCACAAGGGGTATAACTTCCTAGCCTTTGCTAACTGGACCATTGATAATGAGCATTTCACTTTCCATTGGATAGTCCATTTGGAAAACATTTAAACATTGACAGCATTATCCAAATATACTGCAGATTTATTAGCAAGAGGATATTTTTCAATTAATATGTCATGCTTAAAAGGGCTTTTAATATAGAAAATGCATGTGAATCACCATATTTCATGTTGTTCCAGCATTTACAAGTTAATTAACTTATTATATTTTTTACAAGATCCCTTTGAACAAAACGGATGGCATTTCAGCTTCTTCACAGAACTGTGCCTTCACTTCAAATGTTCCTAATAATAATTCAAATACCATTACAGAACTACAGACTCTCTCTATTAGAAGTGACCAGTGTACACTCACTCATGTTTAAGGCAGCCATTCCACCTTGGGGTGCCGCTGGATACACATTTGGTACATTAGTTGTCATGAAATCTGCAATCTGCTGTAAAGCCAATAAGCCTGTTGGGTTCTTTCCTTTCTTAAACTGCTCCTGGATCATGGATTCCAACTCTTCACAAAATGCCTACCAATAAAATATTGCAAGTTGTTAAATATG